TCAACTACAAAGGCATACGGCTAGGCTTGAGAGCTTGCGATGAATTAGAAAATGGTTTGCCAACGAGACTAAAGGAATTAGAACTGGTAGATTTCTTCATTCTTTCGGGGCCGATCAATCTATGAAAAGCATAGCGTAACTAAAATTTTTCTTGGAAGCCAATACTGTATTAGCTTACCGTATTAGCAGCGGAAGATCGATGACTTATTTACTTCGAGTTAAATTTAGTGAGATATGATGAATATAGTAGTCCATGGAGGTAGTTAAGCGTCAAGCTTTATATGAAGGGACTTTAGACCTGACGGTGCCATGATAAACAGTAGAATAGTGCGTTAATTCATCGAGTTGTCAATGTGTCCTTTGCATATACATAAATCAGGTAGTCAAAGGAGACAATTTCCTTTTTGCCATCCAGACGATGCATACAATGATCCCGTTGAGATATAAACATAAAATTAACAGAAAAAGGCGAAGTTTTTCCATGCATTTTGCGTGCAGTTTTTCTATATTGCAGCGTGTGTGAAGAACGAATCGAATCACTGAGTGCATGATTCATCATTCAGTCATTCGGTTTCCTAGAAACTGCTCTCTGGTAGCCCGATGTCCTAAACAGCAACGAACAAGAGTATGCAGGGAGGAGTTGTTTTTAGCCGAGAATCAAGCAGCCAAAACCTACCGTTTTATTCAGGGCTTGATTTAAACTTAAACTGTTTTAAATGTACGTTTACGTCGTGTGCGAAATTTTAGTCACCTGTCAGGTGGGTCAAAGCGAATTGCAACCGTGAAGCGCAAGCCGCAGACAACATGGCCGAATGTCTCAAATGCTTTGACCTGAGAACACCACGTTGGCTTTATTATTAGCAGGTGAACGACCCGCTACTTGGTCGGCTGGTTTCGCCGACGTACGGGGGGGGGTTGAATTCAATGGCCAAAGGAATTGGCAGTTGGTAATAGAAAATTCACGCTACTCATTAGGTTTGAATTCGCCAGTCTGACGGGCCAAGCAACCAACAAATGAGACAAATTAGTCACTGTCCGTCTCTCCATCCGCGATGGATGTTTTTTGTTATGAATATGGAATGTCTGTTATGATATTTTTGATGATTTTGATTACTGCTTGAATTATGCGAAAGTCGGCTTTAAAGGAGCCAGCATACATAACGATGGAAGATGTAACAATCTATAAATATTCTTCTGTGTGCGCGTGTTTGTCAATTACCCGTACTAGTAAAAAGCAGACTTCATTGAATAAATGATCGGTGTGTTACAAGCATTTCAAGTCATCGTGAATAATAGCGTTGAGGTATTTCTGCTCGCTGATACGATGACTTGTTGAAGGCTTATGCACACAGCTCTGATTCATCTGTTAAATCTATTAAAAAGGAGCAATAAAACTTCCTTTTTGTGGCTGAGCATTTGTCCGACTGGTTACCCAGCTTTATGCGTAGGAAACGGCACTATGACCTGAGTAATAGTGAGGTCAGTTGGCAGAATCACTTTATCCTTAAAATGACAGATGCCAGGTATTTTTCCAGGAGGTAGCGCTGTAAATGTGCGAATTACCACAAGCTTTCTGGATAAATTAAACGAGGCTCGTTATGATCTTGTCGGTTCCAAGCGTCATTTATCGGTCTCTAACCAGTTTCGCTGATAACCGCCTTCCGGTCTTTTTTCGGAGGGCTAAACGCCATTGAGTAACGGAATTTTCACCGTGTTTTCTATAACGATTAATATTGACCGTATGGAGTCCCGTATAATTTTGTCAGAGTTTGTGGTCGGTGCTTTACCGACACAATTGCCCCAAGAAACCTAATGAGGTCTGTCCAATTTTGGTTAACACTGTCTCCTTCTTTGTTGGTCGACTTTGATCGTTGATCTTTCTATGCGACTATGACACCGAGGTTTAACTTTGGAGAACCATCTAACAAAGAGTGAAAAAGGAACGTTTGTAACCGTCGGATAGTATGGCTTACTTACATCCTCATGGTTGGGTGCCATTTGAAACACCGCACCGTTCCTTTTCATCAAGTTCATGTTATGGCACTCGTCAGTAGATACTGTTTCCGTGCTGTCATTTAGAAGTAACTTACCGTTGGTTTTGCTAAGCTTTTTCTACATCAGTCGTGGTTATCTGCATAGCACGTAGCTTCCTGGTCTCTTTCTCAGAAAGGGTGCTTGTTCACAAGCTTCAGAAAGAAGAAACGTGAGTGACCCTATTAGGACGAAAACCCAGGATCTTTTGATTTAAAGATAAACGCTTAATCTGATGCGGTGTAATCAAGATCAGCTAATAAACATCATATAGCTTATTACGTTGGTTCGGTTGATGTATTGCGTAGCTACCTTCTGATCTGTCACATAAGCTTCTCTCATGAAACAATGCTGAAACATATGGTTTCAATTCTGGTGGCGTCAAAATCAAAGATTGTCTGAATGGTCCCCTATTAAATGTGCAATTCTCCAAAGTGATGTTCTTTCGACTTCGATTTTCAACATTATTCTCGGCCGTTTTCTAAACAGTTCTGGCTTGTCAAACACGAAAGCCTCATTTAGGAAGAAGGCGCATTTCAGGATATCCGGGTAGATATTTTTCTGAGCTAGAGTACGCGGCTGATACTGTCCTGATGAGTAATACGGGAAACGGAATCTGCCGCCTGGCGCCTTCCGTATTGGACACAGCCGTGAAAGCCGAACCTTTTCTTAGTGCCGGAAAGTCAAAAGATATGAGGAAGCCATTCAACACAACTGATCCTTGGTGTGGAACAGGTATATGCAACGATCGAAGAGGTCGATCAATTTAAGTGTGTCGGTTCCACCGTTTCTAATGTCAGCACCATTATACGAGCGTTAAAAAGGAGAATTCCCGTCGACCCCGGTGCATTTGGTTACCTGACCAATATTTGCGTTCAGAAACGAGAAACCCTTTTCACGAAAACCTCACACCTTTGCTTGGTCAATTCGCTGTTTTTGACTGCTTGAAACAGTTTTCCCAATGAAGAACCAAGGGCAACCTCCCATAAGTGACGATTCGATCTTGTTGTGGGCACAGCTGTCCTCTGTGATCGTGGAGATTACGAAAAGGAGGTTCGCCATGTTGGACAAACTGGTCTATGGAGCTTCTCGTGTCGGTAGCGGAAACACGGCAGATGTTGACAGGGAGGCCAGCACGCAATATATAGGAGTCAGGAAGGAACAGATTTGCTTTCACCGAGGAATTTTTTATTATACAGGTGCCTTATAGCAAAAGTTGCAACAGGTATCTGAAACCGTATGTTCTACTTAACGAAAGGGTTCGAGGTGATGATTTAATCGTGCATAAACAACTGATGGAAAAAATCAGCGTTAATGATAGCATAGTTTCAAAACGTTATTAACTTCAGACTAGAAATACGCGCTTATTAGTCATGTGGTTTGTTTAACAGTTTTTCCCCACTGACTTGATAAAGCTTTTCG